GCACGCCCAGGCACACACCCGAATCCCCGACCTCCAGCCAGCTCTACCACAGCGCTGAGGCCCGTTGAAAACCGTGAGCCAGGGTTGAGACAGACCCCAACCCTGCAGCCCGGGCTTTCCTTGGGCTGCCGCCACGTCCTTTCCATCCCTCTGGCCTTACGGAGAGGGAAGCAGAAAGCATGAGATGTTCCAGAGCTCAGAAAATTATCTGTGAATCAATACATGTTTTTGATAGCAACTCCAGGGCTACTCTAAAATGCCCTCCCTCTTCCTCTTCCCGTTTATAACTTCCCTGGGCAAGCTTATTGGCATCTTTGGGAAAGAACGATCCTGATGGCCCCAAGCACCGCAGAAGAAAAAGGGACTTTCTACGCAGATGCTCGTCATGGCCAGGCTGCACATCAGCTCTCGCCCTCCTGCCTTGTAACAAAATGTCCTTGAATTTATTTTTAAAATAGAAGGGCTGAGCGAAGCTCTGCACAGTAGGAACTGATGCACATCCTCCCACTTCACTGCACCAAACAACAATAAACTATCCGGTCTTATGCAATCGATGGATGCCAGATACTCAATATGCCAGGATCACAGACATTTTAACAGGGAACATTTTTAGTTTGACCTTGCAGAAAATGCAGCTGTACTAAGCTGAGAGATAAGAAAGGTAGTCAGAATACAAATGCTCGCCCACCTCAGTTCATAACCCAAATGCAAAATGTGAGCTCAGACAGGATAAAGGTTGCATATTAGGCAAGCTGGCTGTTGTGTTTTATGGGATCCATGAATTACAGTGACTTCTGGGGCAACACATTTGGATGGGAAGATTTGATTGGCTATACCCTCAATCTCTCCCAGGCATGTTGCTGTTACTTTCAAAGACTGCATCACTAAGGTCTTTTGCCCCCAGATGTCTCAGGAGCTGAGGCAAAGACAAGAGCCAGTCGGTTTTCTTGCACGGGATCCAAGGGAAGTTTCAAACATAATTTAACATCTTAGAGATTTCCACCCTATAGGGCCAACTAAGATTATTTCCATCCTATAGGGCCAACTAATTTGTCATCCGCAATGCTGTAGGCCACTGGAAAATTTGTGCAGGGTCTATGGAAAACCCAAATTTCTCCATCTGGAAGCAGTACTGGATGAGTGGTTACTTTGTTCACAAAAAGAAATCACTGAATTCGAGCCTGATGGGCAGCTGATAAAATACATAGGAATACAATGAAACAGAGCAGCAGAAGAGTCTTCGGTAAAATGTGAGGAAGCAGAATTGCCCACACAGGGCTGCCTAAAGATCCCAACAGTGATTCCTTGGTACTTCCGGAAATTCCCTCCTCTAGGACCCCAACAGTTATTGCCAAAATGGAGGAAGAGATTAACAGTAATGTGGGTCTGACCCAGTCCCACCCCTTGTGTCTCAGCTCCCTGGACCAACTACCCCCACCTCAAAGTGATGGTCACATCTCCCTAAAGAGAAAGTCAATAGCTGTACCTGCTTTCACCACCAAACACGTCACTGGAAGTGGAGGAATGAGATCTGAAAGCACATCTGCTTTCTGGCTGAGGGCACCTTCAGGCCTGCACCCCATGTGCCCTAAGCACTGGGCTAAGCTCGGCTAACACAGATGGTACACCAAAAAAAAAAAAAAAAAAAAGATGGCCGCCGAAAACCCCACAGTGCCATGCCTGACGGCCAAGCCTGCCCATGAGAACATGCTAACGTCTAGGTGTACTGACATCTCCGCACAGAGCGACTTCCCAGCCCCAGGAGCTGACCCACGTACTGAGTGCAAAGCTCGTTACAGCAAGGCCAGGCTGCTCATTTCACATGCTTTCATGTTTGTTAGCACTTGTGTGGAGAAATGACGTGTGGTGTGTGGGGGGACCCTACTATATCAGGGGGAAGAAAAATATTGTATAGATTAGGTTCATTCATGTGAATTTTCTGTCACTGTAACAAACAATGGTCCAGCTATTGTCAATTTCCTATGGTCAACCTGTAATTAAGCTGGAAAGGTGAGAGAAGTAGGCAGCTGGATAAAAATGCTCACCTCCTGAACCCCCTGGAGTTTAAAACTGAACCTCAGAAGCTAAGAGTAGACAGGATAAAGGATGAATGAGTATTAGGGAAACCGGTGGTCAGGTCCCACAGGAACCCTTTCGACAGGGCCCACAGAGCCCCTCTGACCAGGCTGGTGGAAGAAGGGGCCAAAGAGGGCCACGTGAGTCTCACGCAAGCAATGAGAGATACATCATAGAAAAAAAATCATAGAAAAAAGAAATAAATCATAGATAAATCATAATTCTTCTTCTTAACCTAAATCTAGAATCACAAAGTTTGTAAAAGTAAAATTCTCTCCATTTAAGCTCCTTGGAAGCACAGTGCTCAAAATATTCCATGTGGAGATGTTTTCCTCCTTCCCCATCTTACTGTTCCCCACCCACTGAGAGGAGCAGCTCATTCCTTTCCTCTCTGTAAGGAAATCAACATTTGGCATCCCTCTCTAATGCCGCCAAATCCTCCTTTACCTCCTATCCATGGAAAGAGCTGTGTGTAAACGAAAATGCTACCAAAGGTGGTGTCTCCTTAGAGCCCAAGGGAGCCAATAATCTCAGCAAGCCACGGCTCAGCTTCGTCAGCAGGCTCAGCTCTGCTCAAGGATGAAGACATCAGACTCAGCCCCCGCCATCCAGGGACCACGGTAAACAAGGACAAACGCTGGGTCCCTGTGCCCGAATGAGTGCAGATCAAAGAAACAAAACATGTCAACTGGAGAACTTCCAAACCAGAGGCCCCAAAGTGTTGAATGGCTTTGCTGCGAGATGGTATCTCTCCCCGCCACCCGTTTTAATTTTCTCTCTTCAAATCCAAACAGGAAAAAAAAATAGACCCCGACAGTTCCAGCTTTAGACTTGATACATCATCAGGAGCTCATCCCAAAAGCTCTAACTAGATAACCAATTTAATACACTTTGCTTCAAGGTTTATTCCTTGGCTTGCTTCCCAGATATAAAGCATCTCTGGGTGATTATTACACAGATGCCACTAGAAGGACGTTTGACGCCTGCTGCTAACCTCACAAGCACGTGCTGGCGTTCGCTGGAGACGAGGAAAAGGAACGCAGAATGCGCGACAGAACTGAAAACATTTGTTTTTAAAAATGAAAGATGTGGAGTAACTTTTAAGTGGTTTCCTTTGGGTTTCGACAGCAACTTTGGCTAGGCAATTGGACAGCAAAGCTACTTCTTCCCTGCATTGTGTGCACGAACCACCTTTCCTGTAGCACAAAGCGACAACAGCGGACAGGCTGAAACGAAGTGCGCGTGTGATGAGCTCAAGGAGACAGCGGCTCTACATGCTGCCCATGTGAGACTCGATTTTCCCAGTGGCCACGTTGGGGCCTAAGAGATGAAAGAGAAATACTGATGTTGTTCATCAGATAAGCCAGTAACTGCAGACCAACTGTGAAAACATCCCGAACGGCAGACTATCCCAAGGGTGGAAAAGTGTCTGAGGAAAGAAAACCGATACCTCTTTGCCTGTCGATGATCTAAGTTCTGGGCATCTTCTGGTGATGCCATTGAAAGTATAGGTCATACTCATGGTTTTCTTTTCAAGAACACACACCCAAATTCCACGATCTCGAGAGCTTAATTGAAGTTACCCTCCTTGACTGTTTCTTCAGACTTCAGAGTAGAAGAGAGGAGGCCCTTCCTCACCAGATACTCTGAGTCTAAATGAGAGAACCGCCACCACAACCCCTGGCCAGATGTGAAACTGAGTGGATTCCCATTCCAAAGTAGTTCACTGGGAATCTGCTTCCACACCCCTCTGTGGCTGTGTGGTAACTGGATGTCACACAGGCTCGCTCTTTCTGGCTGACCTGATGCCATTCTTAACATTTTCAGCTCAGCAAAAACAAAACAAAACAAAAAGGGCAGCAGCGGAGGAAGGCTTACATAAGGGGACACCCACAAATGTCAATTCTAAGAACAAAACCACAGTTTAAAAGCTGCCTTCAAGAAGAACTAGACAAGAGAGAGGCAAAGTCCCTAAAATTCAGCCAGAGGAAAATCGTGTGGAATATGATTTACTGTGTACTGACCTTAAGAAGTTGAGGACAATGACCAGCGTAGGTTCAGGAAGAGACACAGAAGCTGCCAAGTGCCCAGAAGGGGGGGGGAGGGGCGGCGCACGGAGAACAGGGAAGCAGTGAAGGGCTTCGTGCATGACAAATCCCTGCACCTTGCATCCAGTGGCCAAAATGTGGATGACAGGGTCCTGAGTGGGCTTAGGTCTGCTCTTGCAGGCCAAAGCGTGCAGTGAGAGCTGCACAGCGGGGAGGGGGGCTCGTACTCCGTGCGCTTCCTGGCCAGGGCCCCGCCACCTGAGTGCCAAACAGCCCCCGTCAATCAGCTTTCCCAACTGTTCCCTTTACAGCTTTTCCAATGACCCGGTGACTGATGGAAAGACAGAATGTACCCAGCACCTCGACCTTCAGGCCCCCACCCAGCACACACATCCTATTTAAATAAGAAACGGTATCAAGGGCCTGCCCGGCTCCTTTCTCTTCCCACTCGGGTCCATTATCCTCTCTTAATCAGGCAGGAGGCCTAGCTGCACAGATGGCCTGGCCCGGAGCCCCAAAGACCACCAGACGGGGGCCCACTGAGCAAACAGGGAGCGGTAAGTAGCAAATGTCAAGGGTGCAGTGCCCGGCAGGCAACAGAGGCTCCGGAGTCCAAAGGAAGGAGTGTTGAGAAAGGTACAATACAGAGCTCCTGGCTCAGCCTGGGTGATAGGCAGCATTTCCTCTAGCTGTTCCTGTCTTTACCTTGAGCTGCTGAGGGTGAGGGCAGAAAGGAAGAAGGGAGGCCATCAAGGCTCGGGAGCCCCCAAATAGAAGAGAATAGTGGGTTTGGTTTTGTTTTTTTTCCTTCAGGGAAGGGCCTTGGCCCTTATCCTTTTATTTTAGAATGAATTCATTTTCTTGCCATCTTAGATTTGGACGTGAGCGATCAGGCTGATGAATTTCAGGGTCGGTTACTAATCTGGCTGCAACTTCACTAGAGATGTGTTCCCTTTATGCCTCTGTCCCCCAAACGATCCACCGGGCAATCTTCCCTACTGACATATTTACAATGCAGATCAGTCAAAATACGGTTCAAATGAAAAGTACTATATTATTGTGAAAACTGAATTACAATGATTCACAGAAGTTATCCAAAAGGGGAAAAAAAATAAATTATCTCATATAAAATAATATATGATGTTTGTGAATAATCTTGGCTCCTGTCTTCAGGGAGCCCATGACCTGCCTGCTCTGGCCATCCACGCCCTGCTGGGGGAGCAGATGTTGTCTGGAGGTGCCTCCCCATCGGCAAGATGGAGCTGGGTCCCTCTTCCAGTAGCTGGGGTGGGGGGTTTAAATGAGTCTGGAGTTTTGGAGGAACTGGATGAGGACTTGGTAGACAAACTTGTACTGAGCGATGGTCTGGATCATGAACATCCTTTGCTCCCTGAGGAGCCGCAGCATCATGGGCACTTCCACCTTCTGCAAGAAAAGAGAAAAAGCACAAGATCCTGAGATGAGAAGCTGCCCCTGGGTCCTTCCTCATTCCCTCATCTGCGAAGCTTTTGCTCACTGCCCATTTGTAGGTACAAGAGAAAGCCAAGGGCTTGGCCCCTCTAGGGTTTCCCAATCAAAGGCCTGCTACCAGCACCTGGAGAATCTGGTTGTCATGTGCCACTGATACTGGTGTGATACTTTAAATACACACCCGTCCGTTCGAGAAAACCCAGAGGCTGCAGTTACTTATACCGGACTGGTACTCTCAACTCCACCAGGACTCCGTGGGAGGATTTAAGACATCTCTGGGTCTTAGTTTCTTCATTTGTAAAGTAAGAATAGTGATGCTTTCCTCCAGCAACAGCGTGGCCTTGCCCAGGTTAGCAACACTTCCTCAGCAAGAAGGGTGGGTGACCAGTAGTACCCACCTCATGGGATCCAACAATGAAAGGCAGATAAGGCATTTAGCAGTGTCTGGCACATGCTGAGTTCTTAAAAAAGACTACCCATTATTATTAATAGTAATGAACTGAGAACAATCATACCTATCCTGCCACCTCACAGAATCGTGGTCATTATCAAGTGAGATAATTGATGGGTAAAACTTGAAAACATCAAAGTACAATCTCTGAACACAGTCATGTTGGTTTGGTTGGTTGGTTGGTTGATTTTTTATTCAGCTGGTCTTTCTGTTTTTATCTCTACCCCTCACACCCATTTTCAGAAATACTATCAATTCAGTGTTTGGGGTCTTCTCCAGGATAACTAGGCTGCTTCTCAGCTTTTCTTTGCCCCCCGCCTTTTTTTTTTTTTTTTAAGTTCGTATTTAAATTCCAGTTAGTTAACATACAGTATAGTTCAGGTGTACAATACAGAGATTCAACACTTCCATACATCACCCTGTGCTCATCACAACAGTCGTATTTAGAGTGAAAAACCTTTCACTAAAAATATCTTGACTATTAAATGAGATCGCCTGTGTGTCAATTCTTTGAGAATACAGAACCAGCTTCAACGGAAGGGAATTCATATGGCAGCTCGTCAGTGTCCGAGCAGACCAGAGGCTCCGCTGAGTCATTTCCATCCTCCTGGCCCAGCCAGGGCAGAAGTATCATAAGAGTCCGCAAAGCCAGCGTGGCCTCGGCATACTGCCCCTACTCTGGGAGCGCCCCCCCCCCCCCCCCCCCCCCCCCCCCCCCCCCCCCCCCCCCC